GAGCCCCCCTATATATTTGGCGCAGGTCTGGCGAAGTTTTGCAGCGTATTGTCGGCGCTTTTGACTACACTTGGCAGCGTTTTTCGCGGTCCAGGTCGTAGCACTTTTGATTTTTCTTCGGCTCGGTTCGAGTATTTGCGGGGAAATTTTGGGTGTTTAATTCGGAATGATGAGAAAACCTGAAGATCCGACAGTTTCGATTCGTACAACTTCTGCGGTAACTGGTAGACAGTGCAATGCATCACTCACCAGATAGTTGACGTCAGGTTCGACCTCGACCGAGGCAGTGACTGTGTTCTCATGTTCTTGCTGATGGACTAATTAGGTGTGGGTGCATCTGCTTGGCCAATGGATATTGTCGACTGGTAGTGAATCTCAAAATCATACCCCATTAAGGGAAGAGCCCAACGTTGTAGTTGGTTGGCTGTTTAAACCGGGATGACATTTTTGGTACCAAAGATAGTCAGCAAGGGCTTGTGATCTGTCAGAACCTTGGAGCGGCGGCCGTGCAGCATTTCGTGGAATTTCTTGACCGCGAACACTATGGCCAATGCTTCTTTCTCGACCTGGCTGTACTTCCTCTCGACCTTCATGGGCGATTGCTTTCTAAGATCCATTGGAGTACCTGTGTGAAATTACTACACCAATCCCATTGCCTGATGCATCTGGATAAGCCAATCTCTTTGGGGTGGGGGGGGGGACCAAAATGTGTAAAAAGATTTTGAGGACAGCAATGTCTTGACCCGTTCAAAAGCACTTTTGCAATCTGATGTCCAGTTCCAAGTTTGGCTTTTGGCTAGTAGGCTGTTTAGTGGAGCAGATAAGCGGTGCATCTCAGGAAAGAATGCGCTGTAGTGACTGATGAGCCCGCAGGGACTGCAGGTCTGTTGGTGCAGGCATTTTTCTTATGACTTCTACATTTGCCGGATCTGGTCGACGCACACCCTTTTCAAGGATAAAGCCAAACTACTTGATAATTAGCGTAAAATGTGCATTTACCCTCGCGAATCCGGAAACCGTACGACTTTCTCCAATCAAGGACTTCGGTTGGTATAGTAGTTTGGTGATGTTTCGCCCTCGACACAAGGGCTTCGTCAGACCAGATGAATCAATGTGCAATTGGTGTGGGATTTTATAGCGAACAGTGGCGATAACCGCGTTACCCGAGACTTGCGCCATAATGTCATTACAATAACAGTTCGTGATGTTACCTCAGGTGGTTTGATCACAGTGGGAATAGTCCAGCGGTTCCTTCGTGCGTCATGACAATGACGGATAAGCCCATAGTGTTGATAATGGGAGTCAGTTTTCACTTTCCAATCTGATCCACGCACCGATGCTCGTCAAGCTGGCTGGCTTAAGACCGCCCGTCACGCATTAGGGAGTTCTACCCCCTCCATTCTATTCACACAGTCATCATATTTGGCAATTTCCACCGCCTCGGCAATCAACCGCTGAGGGGTTGATCGTATACCCCTCCCAATGTCCTCTACGTTTTCGAGGTCTATCTGGTGACCCGTGTCTAATGCATGCACAGCTACGGCCGAGTCTCTTACTGTTGCCTGGTATTCATACTCGTTTCTTGGTAGTCTTGAAATGTGCCTCCTATGCTCCGAAATTCGTGTGCGTAATTCTCTCGCTGTTTGGCCTATATACACATGTGCACAGTCCTTATATTTAATTTTCTAAACACAGTTAGTCGTCCTATCCTTGGGAAGGGGGTCCTTCAGGTGTACCAGCGCCGAACGTAACGTTCGACCTCGCTGAAAGATCACCCTTATATTTCCCTTGTTTAGTATCCTCCGAATTGCCTCCGAAGTGCCTTCCTTGTACGGAATTCCGACCGTCCCCCTATCCACTCGGCTGGGGGGGGGGGACTGCCGGTGTAGCACTTTATGCAATTGGCGCTTGACTTGCCGCCGTGGGTAACCACTTTCTAATAGTTTGCTCATTGCCACTTTCCGCGCAGCTTTTTTGTCCTCCTCCATCGTGCACAAGGTTTGTGTCCTGTAGAACAGCGCTGAAGCTATCCCAGCGTAAACCTGTTTCGGATGGCCCGATGTGTAGTGGAGTACACCGTCAGTATCCGTTGGCTTGCGATATATTGTCGTCTTTAAATTTCCCCATTCCTGTGAACCAGGCAGTCAAGAAATGGTATTGCGCCGCTACAAGATTCCAACTCAGTAGTAAACTGTATTCTCTCATCAATGGAGTTTAAGAGATCAAGCAACTCGTCCTTCTTATCCCGTTTAATCAATACAAATGTGTCGTCTACATAACGTCGCCAATGTTTTAGTGAGCTAATGGTGTTTGTTAACGCCCGGTTCTCGAAGTCTTCCATATACAGGTTCGCCAGTACAGGAGATATTGGCGATCCCATGGTGAGACCTTGTTCCTGACTGTAAAGCTTCGACTGAAAAACGAAGTAAGACATGTTAAGACACACCGTCATGCCCTCGATTATCTGGTTAACTGTTAGTTTCGTCCGATCATTCAGAGTGACGTCTTCATTTAAACGACGTCTCGCTATTCCTGTCGCCTCTGCTTTGGGTTCATTTGTGAAAAGTGATGTGACATTGAAGCTGACCATCAACTCATCTGACTCAGTTTTGAGACTTACTATCTTTTGAGCGAAATCATAAGAGTTTCTCACGAATGTACTCGTTCGCCCTGTTAGAGGCTGCAATAGGCTTGCCCAATATCTCGCAAGTTCATGAATCGGAGAGCCTATACCGTCGACTATGGGCTGTACGGGAACTTCGGGTTTGTGAACTTTTGGCAAGCGATAATCCCTCGGAGGTAAATTCGATTTCGGGTATAGACTGTACCACTTGCCTGCCCCTAAATCGTCCTTCACGGTTCTTAAATAGTTACCAACCTCCGTTTGACTCTTGTTCATTACTGACGCCACGGTCTTATCAACAACTACTCTATATGGACCCGTCTCCAAATGTTGTCCCATTTTTTCCAAGTATTCTGACTTATTCATTACAACCAGGGTTTTTCCCTGTCAGCCTTTGTAAGCTCAATGCTGCGATCTTCCTTCAAGGCATTTAATGCGATGCGTCCAGTTTGCGGAAGATTTGGCTCACCCGGTTGCTGAAACAATGATATTTACTAACTGTGCCCGAATATTCTCTGCCTTCGTAGCGGGCAACTTTGTCACCGCGCTCTCAATGCTTGGGATAATCTCTTCCGCATATATCTAAGGTTAATTGATGATAAATGTCGAACCTTTCTCCAACAATCTACATTCCGTCTTATTCGAAATCCTATCTGACATATTGACTACATTACAATAGGTACTAATAGACCCGGAACTATCAGTAGGACCTGTAGCATTAGAATGTACAGTCATTAAACGCTCGAACTTGCGCATTTCTCTTTTCTTTGCATTCTGCCCTTGTTTCAATTTGAGGTCTGAAGCCTTATTGAAAATTCGGTTATAGTCGACAGGCGTTATGGCGGTCTGTAGATCCAGGCTCAGCCGACTCGCGTCGATGCGGATCTCGCTTAAACGTTTGGTCACTAGGTCAATCCGCTGTTTCAGAAAGACCTTGGAAGCATTAATTGCAATCCTTGCAGAGGTGTACGTACTGTCCGGAGACTTCACCGTGAGACGTTTGGCGATCAGGTTAGTCTTAAAACATCTCATGGTAAAAACGCGATGATTCTCTCAGTTCGTTTCAACGCCCGCCAATCGAACAAATTCACTTCACATTTTTCGAACATGGGGTCCGTAATTGGTTACAAATTCTTGGAAGATACTTGGAACCGATCGAGTAGTCATGAGTTCAGAGAGGTTTGGAAACATTCGGTTGGTATAGTAGTTTGGTGATGTTTCGCCCTCGACACAAGGGCTTCGTCAGACCAGATGAATCAATGTGCAATTGGTGTGGGATTTTATAGCGAACAGTGGCGATAACCGCGTTACCCGAGACTTGCGCCATAATGTCATTACAATAACAGTTCGTGATGTTACCTCAGGTGGTTTGATCACAGTGGGAATAGTCCAGCGGTTCCTTCGTGCGTCATGACAATGACGGATAAGCCCATAGTGTTGATAATGGGAGTCAGTTTTCACTTTCCAATCTGATCCACGCACCGATGCTCGTCAAGCTGGCTGGCTTAAGACCGCCCGTCACGCATTAGGGAGTTCTACCCCCTCCATTCTATTCACACAGTCATCATATTTGGCAATTTCCACCGCCTCGGCAATCAACCGCTGAGGGGTTGATCGTATACCCCTCCCAATGTCCTCTACGTTTTCGAGGTCTATCTGGTGACCCGTGTCTAATGCATGCACAGCTACGGCCGAGTCTCTTACTGTTGCCTGGTATTCATACTCGTTTCTTGGTAGTCTTGAAATGTGCCTCCTATGCTCCGAAATTCGTGTGCGTAATTCTCTCGCTGTTTGGCCTATATACACATGTGCACAGTCCTTATATTTAATTTTCTAAACACAGTTAGTCGTCCTATCCTTGGGAAGGGGGTCCTTCAGGTGTACCAGCGCCGAACGTAACGTTCGACCTCGCTGAAAGATCACCCTTATATTTCCCTTGTTTAGTATCCTCCGAATTGCCTCCGAAGTGCCTTCCTTGTACGGAATTCCGACCGCGTTTATTTCCTCGCGGATTTGACCACTGGAGATGTCATAGCTGCCCTACGAGTTGTAGTGATCTCTTCTATTTGATTTTCCATTGTTGCAAAAACCAAAAACACACTGATGTTTTGAAATAGTTGTGAGAGGTTTCGTACTTTTACTCCCGGGTTCTCTTTGATTGATTGCTGGGTATTTACTTATGATTGTACACCATTTGTGACACAATAGTTGTGGTTTTTTGTCTGCGGCTGACATGTGGAATATTGATGATGTTGTACACGGGTAACTCTGTTCCTGGTACCAATCTTTCTTGTAACCGCTGTGCGTTCTCATCCCAAGCTGAGGCTTTGGTTTTGAATCACATGTTTCCATGTGTATTACGGTTTTTTTAATCTAGATATCTTTACTCCGTATTACAAAAGAATGCAACTGTCAACGAGCAAAATTCCGAAATCGTGGTTGAAGCAGTCCGTCTTATTGCAGAGATCCTGATTTGGGGCGATCAAAATGATAGTAGTGTGATGGAGTATGTGCTTCTTCTCCCCTTGTTATTTCTTTAGTTTCTTTTTGGAAAAGAATTTATTGGAATTTTTTTTCAATGTGATAAAGAAGAAACCTCCACGTGCCGTTTGCGTGCAAATACTTCAGACATTAAATATTCTTTTTGAAAACATATCAAACAAAACCGCTGTTTGTAAGTTATTTCGTTATCGAGGATTTCAGATTATCTACTATCCAACAACCATACTAATGAAATTATCACACATCGGTTCGATTTCTCAGATGAAGAAGTGTGATTAGCCGTTTCCGATTTGATCCTTGGCTATCTTTTTCAGGTTGTCGCGTATTATATCTCATTTCTCAAAACACTTTCCCTTCGGATCGATTCCCATACCATCAATTTCTTCTATCTAGAGGTATACATCCGTTTTATAGCACATCTATTCTCTGTTGCTGTTACAGCAGCGCCGAGAATTTGATCTGTATGTCGAAGCGATCAAACTGTTTTGTCATCCGGAAAGCATGGTTCGGATTGCCGTACGAACTATCACCCTAAACATTCATCGTGGTGGGTTGCTGCGCATCATTTGACTTCTTCGGTTTGATTCAGTAAAGGATGAAAGCGCTCTGGAGTTTCTTCATCATCAGACTTCCTTACCCTATTTTTCATACCTAGTCTGGTCTGTGGGTACTACAGCTTTGGATATTGATGATTTACTTCGACCCGATCTCAGGTAAGCTGCCTTTCTCATTGATCTTCCCGTTTTTTCTTCAATATTCTCGATCAACATGCACGGGCCATTTGTCAGATAATGAATGTTCAGTCTAAGGTAACTGGTTGAAGTAAGCTTTTATCTTAACTGATGGCTAAAACTAGGAGAGTAAATCCTAGATCACCTGTGCCTACTTTGGTTCATTTCACCAAGTGTTTTTGGCTGCCTTTGGGCTCTATGCTTCGCCTACTGTTCAGCAGAACGATGCGTTTCAGTCGGATGTCTAACACCCGATCACCGTAGCACAACAGATTCAGTTGGCGTGGCCCTTGTGACTGTGATCGTAAAAATCATTGACAACGATTAGAGAGAAGACTGGTAGATTCAGCTGTATCCTCAAAATCAGGCTTGGCCAGGGAAAACCTTTTTATTAACAGGCCGAAGGAAATCATACCACAGTTGTATATACTACTCTATCGCGCTACAGTCTAGCCTTGCGGTTTATACTTCGAATCCGCAAAGTGCATACCTATGTGTATACTGCAGCGCATATGCCTGTTCCGCATCAGATGCATGGTATCTTCAACCACAAAGATGAAGCGGTAAAATATTCCTGGTGCACCTCGGTTGTTCTGGTTCATTTTGAGCATTGCCTTACCCTAATAATGTACAGTTTGTATCCTTATCGCCGACCATGATTGCAGCATTTTCCTACTGACTGTTGATATCGGCTAAACGTTTCACTACTATTGTATAAACGACAGATTGAATATGTAGGGAATTACCAGACTTCGGGTCATCTCGTCTAAACTGTCTTAGCGATGTTGAACGTCCTCAAGCAAGTACACTGATAGATATCCGTAGAGTTTTACTTCAATTTCGGAATCCATGGAGTGTTTTCATGAGGTGGCATAAGCTGTTCACAGTTCAGCTTTACTAAGCCCCTACTATATTGTCTATGTACTCTGTGTTTGACAGTCGATCACCTGGTGATACTTCCATCCCAGAATAAGCGGATGACGTAGTCATCTATTATCATGTTCACATGTTCTCAGAGTCTCCTAATTTGTTTGCAAACGTTTCATCATCAAACGAAGTGACTTCCTCACTTCGCCATTGGATCGAATGCAGTTCACTGATTTAGTCATCTATTTGTGACCGAGCAGCAAGCGAGTTTTGAATTGACCTCCTCGATCTATGCCCCGTGACCTTCACTCGTTTGCCCGAGGTTTCTGATAGATATGGGAGATCCGTGAGATGCTTTGACCCTGGCTGTTGTGGTTGTGCTGTTGATGGCTCGTTTGGCTGCGCTCGATGGTTTTCACGCTGTTTTAGTTCTCTTCATCTTAACATATGGTAAACCGGGCATGTGCATTTTATCGAGGGATTCATCGAGTAGAATACTTCGAGGAACCGTTACTTTTTATGTCTCTCCTTGTGCTAGGACCTCTGTTTTGTCTCAATCGAAGCGATGTCCTTTTTTGTCCGTCTGTGATGAGACCAGTGAGAGAGCGCAGTTGTTCTTACAAGCCCCTTAATGCTCTTGTATTCTTGTTTACAATCGCCTTCCTGTCTGATCGACATAGTTTTTATCGCAATCTTGATATCGTATCTTGTACACAACATTTCGCCTTTCTTGGGTTTCGACAGGGTTCTCCTCAAAGTGGCAGTTGGTTTGTGAGCCATTGTAAGACCCTGCTTTTTAGTTACTCTTCCTGTCATCTCGGAGGTGTTCTTTATACAAGGTAGAATGATTCTCTTTGTTATCGTTTGGACAGGCTGGAAGGTCCTAGCTTTGTTGCTTAGTTATTGCCGGATGAAGCTGTGCGGATATCCGTTTAGGAGAAATGATCTGAACAGATACCTCTTCTTTCCGCTTTGTCTCAAGATTACTACAATGTGTTTCAATTCTACAACAGAATATTCTCATGCAGCTTCTTATATAACGTCTAGGGTGATTACTGTACTAATTTAGAATCTGATCGGCATTCATAAAATCGGTCGAACAAATATGGTGAACTTTGAAACAAGACTTAACGCACAATTAGATTTTGTTTTCACTAATAAAACAGGGGTTTTCTACACTAAATAGAGCTCTTCTCGGCAACTCAGATCACAGCATTCTGAAGGTTCCCAGTAATATACTGCAAGACAAAATTTGTTTCTTTGACAAAGAAGCCATTCAAAACCGTCAGACGGAGAGACTGCTCGACAGAAAATATTGCAAAACTCCAAGCGAGGTTGGTTTCAACTGATTTTTCAATTTTAAGAACGTAGCTCTATCTTGGAGTGTGACCACCTGACATTAAATTCTGCCTCGATTTGCACTACCCACTTGAGACCATCTACCTACAGATGGATATATTTTCTTCGCCGCTTTTGAAGCAACTTAGGAGAAAGAAAGAACAAGTTTATAAATGCGAAATGAGTGCGCAAGTTAAAAGACTCGTTGGCAATCAAAGCTGGTTGCATCGCTTATACACTAAAACGGTGCTGGGCTCTCAAAATTGTCGCGATCTCTGTAGACTTTTAAAACACCTATGTGGACAGGGTTCTCATAAGCGCATTGATAACGTGGATGTGAGCAAACTCATCGCTGAATTCTGTTCTTTTCAACAAGGTATTAACTCTGCACCATTTCACCAACACAGGTCAGATAGTCACCTTTGACAGGTTTAATGTTTGCCAAGAACTCGGAAGATGAAAAATAAATAAGGCTACTGGATCCGATACATTATCACCACTTGTCCTGAGGCACTGTGCAGATTATCTTGTGGAACTTATGACCGCAATTTTCATCCAATGTTTTGTGGAGGACACCATTCCTAACATTTGGAGACCGGTTTGGATAACACCTGTTCCAAAAGTTTCGTCCAATAGCATGTACATCGGTGATATTGGAAGTCTTCGAGAAAGTACTTGCTCCTCAAATTTTCACACGCACCAGTGCAGGCGATATATAGTTGGCAGCATCCGGTTCCGGTTTTGCCTGTCACTGAGGTTTCCACGGGACCTGCGCCTACGGGGGGGGGCATAGGTGGCTTGCGCTGCATCACCCACGGCTCCATTCACACACCCCTTTTCCAGTGTAAACCCAAAGGAATAAGACCGGGAGACATGCGGATGGGAGCCAAGTTTTATCAACGTAGCCGGTCCATACTCCTTCACAGGTAGACACAAGCTCGCTGTATTTGGGAATCATTCGCACACAATGCGGTGGCTGGATCGTAGTCCGCTCCACATGGAGTGCATGGAACCGCTCTTCGAGCCTAGCACGGCCACAAGGACTGTGCACCCTGTCCACTCCAGCAACGACCAAGTGTCTCCTGGAGCCAGTATAGGCGAGGTAGTGGGTGATAGACAGGTAGGCACCTTATCAACATGCACATGAAGTGCAGCCACACCGGGGATATCAAGCAGTACTCAATCACATGAAATGTAATGTCGAATAAAATACGGACATGCCGCTAAATTTGCATATGAAATAAATGGATTGTCAAAATAGTCATGATAGATTCAGAATGGCAGAAAAAGGACTCAAGACACATATGTAAGAAAAAAATGAGCGAAGTTATTCACCTTTAGTTTAAGCGAAATGTGCATTTTAATAGATTATTCAGGTACACATTCAAATGAGGTAAGAAAATAACACTAAACCAAGGTAGCAAACCAACCACCTGAAATAAAGAGACTCAGCAAGCAAGCACACAGTTAGTAAATCAAATACAGCGTGCCTACCAACGCTGCGCTGGTTCTGCTTCCGTTCTCTGCAGGACTCGTCGTCGTTACAATGCTGGACCCGAGTATCCTCGCTCGTGGCTCACTAAACCTGCCTAACTCAAGCGTTCTCGACCGCACGTGCTACAGCACCATGCACACGACGTAGATGGAATACCGCCCACCGGCGCCTGTTGCTTCCGCAGTTACCGCTTCTCTGCACGCATGAGGGCTTTCTCCTTCACCTCGACAACTGTTTTCGTGCTTAGATCGCACCATGCACGCTGATTAACCGCCTTCGATTCCAATGACCTGCAATCAACATTGAAACTTGATAGGCTCACTTTGCTCCTGTCCTAGTAATGTAAATTCGGTTTTCTCACGTGCCGTTTTCCTGCACTAGGCCATAAAGCAGCTGTTTCGGTATCCGGGACGAATCCATGCCGTGAATATGCCCGAGCCACCTCAGGTGCCCCAGTGGAATTATGCAGTCCACTACATACATGCCACTGCGTCGGAGCACCTCCTTGTCTGCAACTCGGTCACACCAGACGATGAGCGTAATACGGCACAAACACTGTTGATGGAAGCGCTCCAGATATTGGAGATCCTTTCGATAAAGCGTCCAGGTTTCGCTTCCATATAGAAGCGCGGACAGTACCATATAGTTGTATACCAACAGCTTCATTCTAACAGTGAGCTGGTGCTTGTTCCACACACGGCATTCCAGCTTGCCAAAAGCAGCAGCCGCCTTCGATACGTGGTTGCACAGCTTGTTCGTCATCTGCGGGTCGGTTGTTATTACTTTTCCAAAGTAGCAAAATCTTGAGGTTTTTTCCAACACTTTGTCGGCAATCTGGATTTGGGTTAGCCCTCGGACTTCACTCTGGAAAAGACAAACAGTATTGCTTGTGTTGATGGTGATCCCGAATTTGGTGTCTGTCGAAGCCAGAGCACTAGTCATGTGCTGCAACTCATCCACGCTGTACGCAAACAACGCAGTCGTCAACAAACAGCAACATACGGATAGTTGTCTCACAGACTATGGTTCTATCACCGTAACGATGAATGTTCAGCAACCCACCATCAATACGGTGCTCCACACGGACACCGTAAGCAGAAGCAGTATCAAAAGCACATCACTGCATGAAGATAGCTATTAAACAGGGCAGAAGCTCGGACACAGCCTTGCTTCACACCAGAGACAACTGTAAACTCCTCCAAGGTCTGTCCACAGCTGCACCCTCACCCGCATACCACTGTGCAAACATTCAATTAAACTTACAAATTTACCCGGACAACCA